TCGTCGATCCGTGCTTCCCCTTTGTTTTCTCATCGGGGAATCGGAAAAAAACATTACCCCTGATTTTATCCGTATACAGTTTCATGTTTGAGCATATCCATGTAGTTGGAGATTTGAGTTCGAGACTTGGGAAATAATGAATAAATTTAAAAATACAATTGTATATTAGCAAATAATTTAAGATCAAGTTTTTTTTTCCTGATGAATTAATATAAATAGCCATCTTACTTAATCGCTTAAACTAAAAGTAACCGACTATATAAAAAAAGTTAATAATATATTTGATCGGATATTTGTGTAAATATTTTTTCCTGAGGGAACCATTAAAAGGCTGTGAATAGCAAGGAAATTATATGTGGTTCGTGGCCGACCAAAATGAGAGGGGAGATAGGGTAAGACGTGGAAGTGTCATAGGGGTTTGCCATTGGTCTTGAAGTCCTAAGATACTGCTGTTTGCTGGTGAATTGTTCTTTGCATTATTCTATAGTTGGAAGGGAGTTTTGGCAGTAACAGTCAAATTATGTCTGTATGATTTACAGATCACAAATTTGAATCATCAAACTAGCTATTAATACTTGTATTAGGATAGATTATTTACATCATATTTCTTGAGATGCGGTTCCTTCCCAAAATCTACGTGAATGCGAGATGCCTTGTGAACCAGATTGTCACCTTTTTAATTTCTATATAGAGACACAACAAAAATATTATACTATTAAATTGTCTAAAAAAACTACAGACGTAACAAGATATGATAAGTGAATTTAATAACTTGAAAAATAGATAAGAATTTACAATAATGATGGATGAAATCTTATCGAATCAAATCTTATATATTATCAAATAATGGTGTTTGGCTAGTTCATGCCTAAATAAATTCAGGAACCTAATATAGAGTTACCTATATCAAGAAATTAATGTATGAAGTGGTGGACAGGTGGAAAGATTTTGAATGATATTGTACTTCCTATCATGTCCCAATTCCATAGTATTTATGTATATATATATATATACATATATATATATATATATATATATATATATATATATATATATANTCATGAGCCCTCAAAAATCAAATGTTGTACTCTTAATTCGCATTATAACCTACTTGAATCAGCTGCGGATCCAACTATATTCGTAGTTAATTATTCTCGTGATTTGAATTCAATACGTTTCTTGTCACGATCCTAAATCCGGACCCGATCGTGATAGCGTCTCTCGTGAAGACAAGGCCAGCCGACACATTTTCAATTCACTTTTAAGCAATTTAAATATTTAAACTAAGTCTTAATCATAATAATAAATCCCACAATAAGGTAAATAATACAGTTTGCTGGAAAAAAAAAGAAGAAGACATAGCCCGACTTCGGGGTATCACCAGTCATGAGCATCTATAATAATATAAGTCTGAAAGACTCTACTCAACTATTACATAACTAAAACAAAAGAAAATAAGATAGAGGGAGAAACACTTGGCTGCGAATCGCTAGGCAGCTACCTAGTGAATTTTCGGAATCTGCTAGACAACTCTCAACCCTCGAAAGTAGGACAGGATGTGCCTGAATCTGCACACGGGGTGCAGGGAGTAAAGTGAGTACTCCAACTCAGTGAGTAAAATGCGGACTGAGTAATAAGAAATCACGTTAAGGCACATCAACAGGCTATAAAGAAGCAGTAAAAGTCAGTAAAAATATGAAGCAATAAAAAGATGTGAAGTCACTTTAATTCAATTTAAACTTCTTAAAAATGCTTTTTTAACAATTAAGCAAGTAAATAACATGCAACTAGGAAAGATAAACACATAAAAAACCGCCCCTCGGGCACAATGTCCACAAAATTCGCCACTCGGACAATATCATAGAACAACATCAGCCCCTCGGGCTATATCTCACATCACAATGGGTACCCGTACTTACTGGGGGTGTGCAAACTCCTGGATGGGCCCCTTACGGCCCAAGCGCAATATCAAGCCATCTCGTGGCATAATCACATAGGCTCTAGACCTCATATCAACAAGTCACATCGTGGCGTACAAATCTCAGGCCCTTGGTCTTGCTCAGTCAGAATCTCACAAGCCACTCGGGTAATAGTAAGACATGATGCTCAACCTAAAATATAATTAAAATATCATTTTAAGTGTTAAAGCAGAGTAAACATGGCTGAGTTATGAAAACAGTAGAATATAGCATGGCTAAGTTCAAGTATAAAGTCAAAACAATGAGGAAATATCAGTAAAAATCCCCTAAGGGTTCAAATATTTGGCACGAGGCCCAAGTATGTCATTCATCCCAAAATATGATGATAGCAAACGGTTTTCAGTCAAATACGCGGTAAAACAATCATTCGAGATGGACTAAGTTACAATCCCCAATAGCCCACGACCCCATACCCATCATCTAACGTGTGCGTCACCTCAATATAGCACGACGATGTGCAAATCTGGGGTTTCGTACCCTCAGGACAACATTTAAAATCATTACTCATCTCAATCCGGTCTAAACCCTAGCCCGCAACGCCTTTGCCCCTCGAATCGGCCTCAACTCACGTCAAATCTATCCAAAATCAGAATTACGACGTCAAAATACGCTAATGGAACGAAGCCCATGCGAAAATAATCAATTTACAACACAAATTCCGAAATTACTAAAACCCGACCCTCGGGCCCACATCTCGGAATTCGATAAAATTTACATCAATAGATTGCTTATCTCCCCACGAGTTCATACATATCAAAAGTCCCAAAATCCGACCACAAATGGCCCCTCAAATCCTCAAGTCTAGGTCTCAAATACCAAGCCCTAGTTTTCCCAATTTTAACCCTTAATCTCCACTAATACCATGATTAACCAATAATAAAATGATCATAAACTCAAGTAATGAAGCTTAAGGAACTTACCCAACTGATTCTCTTCGATTTACCCTTGAATTCACTGCCTTAGCTCGCTTCCCGTCTTCAAAAATGGAGAACTTAGCCAAAAATTCGCGAAGGAAATATTTTATACGTTCTGGCCTAGAGATTCCGCACCTGCGGCCCTTTAACCACTTCCGCGGTTTCATTTTTGCGGTCCATGAACCGCTTCTGCAGTTTTCACTTATTCCTCAGCGTCCGCATCTGCGATGAACATTCTGCACCTGCGCCATCTTAGGTGCGGTCCCACAACTGCTTTTGCGGTTCCTGCCAACCTCACATTCTTCCACTTCTACGACTCCTTTCCACATCTACGGGGGTCGCACATGCGGCCTCCCAACCGTAGATGCGGTTATGACAGCAGATTCCAACTTCAGCTACCATTTCAAACTTCCATTCTTTCCGTCAACCATCCGAAATCACCCCGAGGCCCCAGGGACCTCAACCAAAAGCACAAACACATCATATACCACCATTCAAACTTATACTAATTTTCAAAACACCTCAAACAACATCAAATCAATCAAAACACATCGGATTCAAGCCTAAGTTTTCAAAATCTTCCGAATTACGCTTTTGATCAAAAAGTATATCAAACCACGTCCGAATGACCTGAAATTTTACACACACATCCCAAATGACACAACGGTCCTACTGCAACACTCGAAATTCTATTCCGACCCCTATATCAAAATCTCACCTATCAACCAGAAAATGCCAAAATACCAATTTCGTCAATTCAAGCCTAAATCTACTCCGGACCTCCAAAACTCATTCTGATCACGCGCCTAAGTCCCAAATCACCTCCTGAAGCTATCCGAACCATCGGAACTCACATCCGAGCCCTCTAACACATAAGTCAACATCTGGTTGACTTTTTCCAACTTAAGCTTCCTCAAAAGAGACTAAGTGTCTCAAACCTTTTCAAAACCTTTCCGAACCTGAGCCAGCCAACCCAATCACGTATAGAACCGATAGACAAAGCAATAAGAAACAGAAATGAGGAATACGGAGTGGTAACTCATGAGACGACTGGACGGGTCGTCACATTTCTACAAATATATAAGTATAAAATTTCTCTTTTCTTATTTTACCACGTAGTTACAACATATTACACCTTTAACCAGACTCTTAAAAACGTAGCCTCAATATTTTCTCCATTTTAATTTCTGTAATTTTATATATGTATAACTCAAACAAGATTTTCTTTGACAATATTTTTTACAAATACTATTTAATTATTTGGAATTGTTAACTATCGTGACTTATATTACTTTGTATACAGTTTCTAAATATATAAATTTTATTTTAAAATAAAAATTCTAGAAAGATAATTAGCTTGACCCTCATACTCCGAAAAAATTCATATAAACTGAAATGGAAGGAGTAATTGGAAAAAGGAAAAAGGGGCAAATATACTCCTCTAATTTGATATATTATTCACATTTACCCTCTGTTATACTAACGGGTCAAATCTACCCTCACCGTTAGCAAAGTTTTCAAATTTGCCATCTAATATATCAAAGTAGAGGGGTATATTTGTGCCTAATATATACAAACTAAACCGTTCCTACATATCCTTTCGGAAATGTTCTTTAGGCAGTTAGAAGAGCAAAGTAAAGCGTTCGTAAACAGTGTTTTAAAAGGCGTTGGCGGGAGCCAAGACCAGGGGCGGATCCAGTGTGTTAGTTACGGGTTCCTGTGAATGCAGTAACTTTTATCTAGATCCTGTATTTGTATTGAAAAATTCATTAAATGTATAAAAATATTTAACTTGGAACCCAGTCCATTAATCCAGTTATTATTGTATATTAACTTGAGATTTTTGTAGGAACCTATAAACTTAAAATCCTGGATCCGCCTCTGGGCAAAACCTTTTATCTAAATTAAAGTAAGTGTGGGGTTAGATCCGAATCTGTTGTAGTGCAAATTGCACAGCTCGATCCTACTTCTGTCATTAAATATGTTCCTGTCGCCAACTGCAATAAGGTCCACTGCTATTATTACTACACACAACATATCTTTTTTCCTATTATATATATGTACATATATAAACGACTCAAAGCTCATGAATTTCTCAACTGTTTTTCCAAATATTTAGCCACAATGAGTTCTACTTGCAACTTTCTCCAGCCTGTTATTCTCTTCTTGCCCATTCTTCTCATTATCATTTCCCAAAGTATAGCTCAAGCTCGAACATTGACTGATATTAAAAAGTTGCAAAAATGGCCATTCAATAATTCAGTTTCAGCTGTTTTAGTGTTCGGGGACTCTACGGTTGATTCAGGGAATAACAACTACATAAGCACGATTTCTAAGTGCGATTTCCCACCCTATGGAAGGGATTTTCTGAACCACATTCCCACCGGAAGGTTCACCAATGGCCGCCTCGTCACAGATTATATTGGTAAGACTGTCAGCACATATAACTTAAATCCTTATGTTAGTATGTAATATGTAAGCAGATAGTGTAATGGTTTTTATTGAATCAGTATATATAGTTTAACATATGATAGCCGGGTAATTATCATTTTTACTAAGTCACTGTTTAGTGATATATATAAGTTTGTAAATATTTATTGTCTGTGCATAGAATTAAGCTTTCTTTAGCTTGACTTTTACAAAACTAATAGTGTACTATCAGATCATTTAAAAGCAAACACCAGTCACTACTATAATAAGTGCTAGTGGGGAAGAGTTTAAGTTCTATAAATATATGCATTGACGTAGGAGGCTACTTTCATTAATAGATTAAAATTCAAAAAAATATTCATATTTTTAATGAGCTACATAAATACGTAAGTAGCCTACTATAATAGGTTAACTTAAACTAATAGTATAAAAAATTTGCCACACTATATAAATGGAATTAGTAACTTGAAAAATTTAACATGTTAAATTATACAAATAATGTCAAAATTTCTCACTCTTTCCGGTGAATATGTAAATTTTTCATTTTTTTATTTATATTTTGCTGTCTATTTTGTAACAGCCTCGTACATGGGAATCAAAGATTTCGTGCCACCCTATTTGGACCCAAGTCTTAGCTTGGAGGAGCTCATGACCGGAGTTAGTTTCGCCTCCGGTAGCTCTGGCTTCGACCCTCTCACTGCTCAACTTAGCGTGCGTCTTTCTCTCTCTTATTGAAAATTGTCCACTGTTAGCAGCGGCGAAGCCAATGTGTATATATACAGATAAAAGAAATTTGACATATTTATAGAATGTAATTTTCTGGCGAATGAATATTACTTGACTCCCCTTGTATAATAATAGCTCCGCCACTAATTTGTTAGATTTGTAATAGGTATATATAGGTTCAGATTAATAATTGCAGATATATCAAAAGAATAAGAAGATTAAGGATTTCGTAACATTTTCCAATTTCACTAGACCTAATTTAGTAGGAACAGTAACTTTTTAAGGAAAAAAACAGACGCATTATATATACACTGAAAAAATGATAATTTTTTCTTGTTTCAACTTATTGTAGCAAGTTATCTTTATTTTATACGTTACTAATCTCACTTGCTATGAACAACTACCCACTGTTATTGTTAAGTAACTTTATATTATAAAAATTTGTTTGCACTGTCGGTATGCCAAAAGTTGAACTCTTTGTAGAGGTGAGCATATTTCGGTCGGAACCGAATAAACCAACCGAATCGATTTTTTTTTATTATTTCGGTTTCGGTTATTCGGTTTGTTCGGTCGATTTTGGTTTAAAATTTTAAAATTTCGGTTTTTCGGTTCGGTTTTCGGTTATTAAGTTTTTTAGTTCAGTTAACCGAAAAACCGAATTATTAACATATATGTTCTTTAAGTTATATATAGGCTAAGCCCATAGGTAATAAATTAATACTATTAGGTCCAATCTATCAAAGACTCGACCCAATTAAGTAAGTCCATCAACTTTCCAATCTTAACGACTTTCAGCCTATTAAAACTTCCATAGCATATGTGGTAGATACAGGGAGAATTTCACACAAGAGTTGTAATTTACACTATGTTTGAATTTTATGATCCATAAAGTGTGCAAAGTTTAGTCTATTTTTTTTTCTATAAACACAATATTTCCAACAATTTCGAAGTTTTGGGAAAAATCAACAAATTCGCCAGTCGTATTATTACATAGAAGGAGTCCAATATGATAATGTTCAAACCGAAAATCGAACCGAAATAACCGAACCGAAATTAAAATAACCGAACTGATTTCAGTTCGGTTTCGGTTACTACTTTTACAAAACCGAAAATCGAATAACCGAACCGAATTTCTTCAAACCGAACCGACCGAATGCCCACCCCTAGCCTCTTTGTGAAAACAATAAAGTATACACGTCTCCTTCATGAACTTGAACGTTATACTTCATAATGGCTACTTTCTTAGGATAATAAAAAAATAGGGCAAAGATTACTTTTAGTCATTCACTGAAACTATTTATATTCGGTTGTCGCAAAAATGTATAATATATACACACGCACACAAAATACACAAAAAATATTATTCTTTGCCTATTATTTTGAGAGAGGCTATACAGTATCATTTTCCCAAAAAAACAAATATTGTGATCCTCTAAGAATTATAAGTATTGACAAGATTAGTTGTTTGATAATTTGCAGGGTGTAATACCATTGCAAAAGCAGCTGGAATATTTCAAAGCATATAAAAGGAGACTTGAAAATGCAATAGGGAAAGAAAAGACAAAATTGCTAATAAGCAAAGCAACATTTATAATAAGTGCAGGGACAAATGACTTCGTTGTAAACTATTTTAATACCCCATTTCGAAGAAAAACCTATAAAGTCTCTGCCTACCAGCAATTCTTGTTGCAATTGGTGCAACAATTTGTCCAGGTAAGTCTTTTTCTCATAAATTAAAGCCATGTGATTGTTTTAAATTTGAAATTCATATTTTTATATTTTTAATATATATTATTATTTTTATATTTACACAAGTCATTTTTAAAATTCTTTTTATTAAAATTATACAAAAAAATATTCACGGGGATGTTGTGCTTCGAGTCAGTCTTTTTGGCACAGGTAATAATTTGGACACCAAACATTAATGTTGATTTATGAAGTGGGGAAGGATTGTGTTAGGTGTAAGGTGTTGCAACTTCATTTTTATTTTTATTTTTTTTGGTTTCCTACCCCATGTTCGGAATTCATATTGGAGCCCGACTAAATCCGGATTCACGCCGGAAAGTCCCACATTGAGGGGTAAAACGCTCCCTAACAAAGGCGACTCCATATCTAAAGACTCGAACCCGAAACCTATGGTTAAGGATGAATGAGTACTTACCAGTCTACTACAATACTTGTTGGTTCATTAATTATATTGGAGACATCGACACAACCCTTAGCACTAGGCTTTTCCTTTTTGTTTCTTTTTTTCTAGTAACATCCTTTAAAACACTTGAGAAGGGACAACTTTGAGTTTTATTATTGGATCTGCAATTATATTAAAGTTTTTTATTAATCACGAAAATTAATACAAGTCGATAAATTGTCTTTCAATCATTGAGTTCACTATAGACTTCAAATCTGGCACTATTTAAATTAAATAAATAACTAATTATAATAAAGTTACTTTCCTTAAAACTGTTGTGATTCTCGGATCAATATGAAGATTATTTGGGAGGAAAAACAACTCTATTTCACNACTACCTCTCCGTGGGTAGTGACTAATGCATCTCCATCCTTTTGCTTCAACTGCTCTTTCTCCTTATGCAATTTTCTGCAGTTCTTCTTTAAATGGCCCTTTATTCCACAGTGGTATCACGCATATGATGACTTCCTACCATCCGTGGATTTTCCCCTACTCTTGCTTCTGCCTCTCCTC